GGCTAAGTGTCTCAGTTTACCTGTGCACAGGCGCAGCCAGCGTGGCCGTCGAACACGCCGAGCAGCATCCCTCGTGTCTGCAGGCACGTGGCTGCGCTGCGGCGATCTTCGATGGGAGCGTTGGCTGGCAGCTGATTACTTTCGAAACCCATCACCGAAGACACATTTTTCCCATCAAACTCTGGCACCTGGGATTACACCATGAATAGTAAACTACAGCAATGCTACTACGGATGGCAAAATGCATTTTATCTACAACCCAACAAACCTTAAAGCTGTACTCGTTGGCTTTGAGAATGGAGTTGACCTGCGGAGGGGTGAGGATGTAGCTGTGGAGAACTGAGGATGTCTGGTAACTTCTTGATGGCTGGCGTCGTTGCCACATGTGAGCCGACTTTCTTGAGGCAGGTAGGTGAGCTACAGGCCCAAACTGGGACTGGTGTTGTTGGCATGGTAACAGACTGGAGGCCAAGACCTTGGAGCGAGGCAAAGCCCTGAGCAGCTGAGATGTCACAGGCATGGCTGACGGTACCCTGCAGGCAGGCGCGCGCACACACACACACTCTGCAGTGCTGATGTAACCACACCTATTGAAGAGGTACAGCGGTCAGAGAGCAGCAGATGGAGGTCCTTTTTTTAAGCTGCATTCATCAGCAGAGGGGCAGAGTGTTCCTGGCATAGACCATTAAGCAAACAATGTGCAAACAAACTGGGATGACGTGACGAGGTTTTGCAGCTGGTCGTAAGCTTTATGACAGAATAACGTAAAAACAGTTTTTCCACAGTAACTGCCAACATGATACTTGAAAGTCAATGTTCAGACAAATCCTTTAAACCTGACTCCTGCAGTGACCATTCACATATTTTGCCTGTGGGCAATTCAGATTAAATCAGTTGGCTGGTTAAAAGTTGGGCTGTTGATTGACTGCTTGCTGTACTGGAAACTTTATTGAGCCCAACATTACTGTTAAACAGAATAGATCAAAGTAAGGGATCCATGTAAAGATGAGTGGCAGCGATGGAATAGCAATATATGGTTAATATTTAGTAAAAAATACATGAATTTCAATACTTCTGTGCTCAGGAATACTTGTGTTGAGGAGGGGATCTTTAAATAGTTGTGATCTCTGTATCGCCATTTCTTTAGCGCTCAAACACACAGCATGCTGACCAACTACATACTGGATGAACAAGTCCTTCATTGTTTGAAATAGGGCTGCCACGATTAGTCGACTAGTCACGATTACGTCGACTATCAAAATCGTCGACGACTGATTTCATAGTCGACGCGTCGTTTGAAGCTTTGTAAGATCCTAAAAGACGCAGGAATAAGTAGTAGGATTTAAGAGTGTAATAACGGACTGAAACAGAAGATGGCAGCACTGCATGTACAAGGATGCCAGCTGCCGTTAAACCCCGAAGAAGTCATATAAACATGCTTATATGACCTTCTGAAGTTTGAACCAAGCATCAGAATGGGGAAAAAAAGGTGATTTTAGTGACTTTATATGTGGCATGGTTGATGGTGCCAAAGGGATGGTTTTGAGTATTTCAGAAACTACAGATCTACTGGGATTCTACCAAACAGGCATATCTAGGGCTTACAGCCAGAGGTCTGAAAAAGGTAAGTGAAAAAGTAAGTGGGTGAAAAGGCATCAATGCCAGAGGTCAGTAGAGAATCACCAGACTGCTTTAAGCTGATCGGAAGGCAACAGTAACTCAAATAATAACTAAGGTATGCAGAAGAGCATCTCTGCATGCACGAAATATATCAAACCTTGAAGCAGATGGGCTACAGCAGCAGAAGACCACACCAAGTGTCCCTCCTGTCAGCTAGTAACAGGAAACTGAAAAATTCACACAGACTCATGGTGCCTTGTATTAATCCTTGTGGTGTGGGGGATGTTTTATTTGCACACTTTGGACCCTTCAGTACCACATGAACATTGATAAAACGCCACAACCTACTCTAGTATTGTTGCTGATCATATGCATCCCTTTATGACCACAGTGTACCATCTTCTGATGGCTGCCTCCAGCAGGATAACACACCACGTTCACTGCACTGAAATAGCCTTTACAGTCAACAGATCTCAATCAAATTGAGCAATTTTTGATGTGGTGAAACCAGAGATTCAGATCATGGATGTGCAGCTGACCAATCTGCACTAATAGTCTAATGCCATTGTGTCAATATGGATCAAAATCTCTGACAAATGTTTCAGGCACCTTGTTGAATCTGTGCCACAAAGAGTTAAGACAGTTCTGAAGGCAAAAAGTAGGTCCAAATCAGCACTAAGAATGTGTACCTAATAAAGTAGCTCCGGTGAGCGTGTACTCTCAACAAAATTGCTCTTATTCATAAATTAAATTTGCATGAACACTGTGTTGAATATTCAGAGAAGAAATGTCAACCCTCATAGATATTGTTACAGTGATTATGTCCCATAATCTCAGATAGGGGCAGTGTAGAGCCTCCTTCAGGAATAATAGAAAGTGTTTTAGTTTCGTTTATATAGTTTGACGAAGGTTAACCATTTCTGTCCTGAAGTATTGACAAAAACCTGGATTAGAGATAGCACCACTGGAGACGACATTTGGCGTGAGTTGTACTCTGCACTCTTCTCTATAGGTCAGCAACTCTGCACACTGTTAAAAATAGCTCTGGCAGTAACTCGCCCCTGACATTTAGTTCTTAAATAATGATCTGACTGGTTAGGATGACCCAGTAAACCGGATCCTCACTGCAACTGTTCATAAAATCTGCCCTCATTTCATAATTTAAGATGAGTCACGAGAACAGGGTGAAAAGAGAAACCAACCGATATGAAACTTCCTCAGCTGATTCTGAAAACAGTCAGATACCTTTATGTATTTAAAATGGTAAGAAGCTACTTATCCAGACATGCAAATAAGGCAGTGTGCATACACTTCCAGCAGTCAAACCTTAATAGAATAAACAAGCAAATGTGTACTTTGAGCGTTTTCTTTCCACTAGTCTAAAAAAAAAAAGAAAGGAAAAAAAGACCTGTATTACGGAAGTAAAATAGCGTCAGAACTGTAAAAATAAAATTACCAGCTCCTAAAAAAACGTTTCCGCTCTATGTTTCGCCTGTTATTTCTACAGACCCTCAAAATGTGGAAAAACTGTGTGCGGACAGTGATGAAGCAACAAAGGTGATGGATGCTCGGGTAAAAACGTACTCCTTACAGTGACAGCGTCTTGCAGGCTGACCCCATATGGAGAAAGCCCAAACTATGTGTGAGGCACACAGACCACTGAGGGCCCGTCCCAGCTCGGATCTCTGCAACAAAGTTGCCATGTTTGTTGTCATCACTAGCCTTTCCTTGCTAGTTGCAAAGCAGGTCTGTAAACCAGTATAGTAGCCAGTATCGGAGGAGCCCGACTAAAACATGGAAGCGCAGTCTCAGAGCCACAACATGACAATAAAATAGGAATAGGAAAGCTGTCAAACAAGGTTACTTAAATGGGTACAGTAGCCAAATTCATGCTAACGGCTACTAGTGGTGTCCAGGTTACACCCACCAAACTGGATACTGTTTGCTTACATAAAACGCGACTACACCCGGGAAAAATCCTCTGGACTTCAACGCATCTTAACCCGCGAGAGTGAAAAGTTCAAACGAGGTGCAAAGTTGTGGCTTACCTCAACCAGCGGATGTAAAGAAGTTATTTGAGCTCATGGCTTAACGCCGACCCCTCTGTGTATCATTCGGGAGCGCCGCCCGGTGGAGTGAACTCTGATTGGCTAAGGGCTGGCAGACGTGATGACGTCGAAGCATAACCACATGCACAAAGTCAGAATGTGCTTTTTAAAGCCCCGCTTCTAAATAGGATCAGAACTGCTGTGACCCAAGAAAAGTGATCCGCTTTCTAGTTTTTAGTATATGTATATTTTATAATTTAATAAACAATTTTATAATCTGTACATTTATATTTTTTTTATTTTGTTTCTGAATTTACAATTTGTCATTTGAAGAATAAAATAGTCTTAAAATAAACCAGAAAAAAAAGAGATTTGTTAAGTACATCTGTTCCTCTTTTCCTTCTAAATATCCACTCAGGCAATCAAGTGGCAGCAACTCAATGCATTTAGGTATGTAGACATGATCAAAACGAACTGCTGAAGTTCAAATGGAGCATCAGAGTGGGGATGAACAGTGATTTAAGTGACTTTGAAAGTAGAATGGCTGTTGGTGCCACACTTCTCCGGGTTTCACAGCGAGTGGTCCGAAAAACAGAAAACATCCAGTTCACTAGGTGAAAATGCCTTGTTGATGTCACAGGAGACTGGGCAGTCCGGTTTGAGCTGATAGGAAGACAACAGTAACTCAAATAACCACACGTTATGCAGGTATGCAGATGATAATCTATGGTATGTTGAAACTTGAAGCAGATGGGCTACCTTGGTTGGGCTATGGATGGATTTAAATTTGATGTCAGCAAGACGTTTTAAAAAAATAGGATTCGGTCTATTTAGCACCGCACTGCAATGCTTCTTCTTTTAAGAACACTTTGTGTATTAATGAGCCCAGTTTCTGTAGTATTGAAAGAAATTCATTCACAGTTCAGCAGCTTGGAGGTGTTCTAATGTCTTCACAAGTCTGGAATCCAGGCAGGCCAGATTAGTCAGTTAACCTATGGAACCACCATACTGTAAATCATGCAGTGTAGTTAAGCATTACCTTGCTGAAATATTTCCCAATTTTTTTTTCAATGCACCAAACCTCTTTGTAGGAGTTACACCATTCATCATTGATGGTGTCTTCACAGATGTAACACCATGTGTACTAATGCAATACCAAACCATGGTAGCATGAACAGTGCACTGGTAGCGAGCCGGATTTGGAATATGCAACAGCAAAAAGCAACGAGAACATTCCCCACTATGCCTGTGGTAACAGAGCCAGAGGTATTTCAGTAAAGCATCTGCATTAAAAGGCACACAGTCAAGAAAGAAAACCAAGACAGAGAGAAATAAAAATAAAATATTAGAACTTTTTCATGCTGGCCAGTGTTTTTCTAGCTTCAGTCAGGAACCTTCCTCTATACAATTAAATTCTGTTTGGATTTACATATATATAAACAAAATAAAACAACCCCCCCCCCCCAAAAAAAACTTTCTTATGGAATAAAATAAGGAGACTGATTTTTTTTAATCTATGAGTATGTTTGATTCATCTAAAATCCAGTGGTGACATGTAATAGTGTTGCTTACTGTCAATAAGAATCCACCAACATACCCAGAGATGTTAAATATATTGTGTTATAAATACTATTGGGTTCATAAGAATATGAGAATGTACATCATCCTTTGTTTATATAGCTACTGGATACGCTACTATTCTTTACCTAAAAAATAAAATAAAATTTAATAAAAAATGTCAGAACAAGATGATCTTCATGTCATAAAAAACATTTAATCAATACAAAAACATCAAAAATATGTCAAAAAATTTGAATATTTACATCAAAATCAGCAGTAAAAACCACTTATTACAGAACCACTTATTAAAAGAAGTGCAAACAGGACAGAATCTGTAAATAGTAATTATCTGTGAAAGAAATGCAGCTAATTAACAAAGATGATATCAACTATCTAGCAACGAATTTTAAATTAGGAACCTCTCATCCACCAGAGTCTTGTTGGCGAGGTTCTTCCTTCCCAAACTGTTACGCAAAAAGCAAAATATCTGTAAAGAACGAGAAGGTTGATTACTGCGAGTACTTTTTAGGCGGTGCTGAGAACATGCAGTACGGACAACAAATACTGACCACTTGCTGCACGTATGTAAGCACAGCTGCAAGCACAAAGCTCTGAGATCCAAGGTCGACGACACAGAAGAACAAGGTGTCAAAGATCAGCAGTGTGGCCTCGTTTCCATAATACAGCACGTTACTAAAAGTGTGCGCCTCATCTGCCACGAGAAGTGCAAACAGACATCATGTACACACACGTAGGTGGAGACAAACAAACTGAAATGTACTCTGGCCCAGACCATCACCATTGTAAAAGATGCTCTTCTCAGTGGGTTCAAGAAACTCCATCCCTATGACACTCTCAAACATCAGCTTGTCCTTCACTATGTAGTCCATGTCAGAGTGGGCCTTTTCAAATGATACGACATAAGACAGAAATAAGCAAACTGTTCTACTAGAATTAGGTCAGATAAAACTCTGCTGCTTTTAGTTTGCTGAGTGAGTTTATTCTTGAGTGTTTGTACTAACATGGTCAATAACACATCCCAGGAAGTGGTTCATGGCCTGGTAAGCTTTGAAGTGCGGCTCGAGCGAGCTGAGCGTGGATGCGTCTGTTAGTCGTGATGGCTGGTTCCTCTGGAGGACAAGACACAATCAACTCCTTTAAAAGGCACTTATGAATAAAAGTTACCAAACTGATAAAAGCTCTGAGAAAAAAAGAAACAAGAAAACCACTGCTTTGACTTTATATCCAAAATGTTTATGAGTTGTACTGCAAAGCGCTCACCTGAAGCTAAAATTAGTCCGTGTGATAGTTTAGTGCAACACCACAGACAGTATAAAACATGGGTGTAGCTACTGTGATGTTGCCCACTTGTTTGGGGAGTCCTGTTGCCATCTTGGTGTTTTGAAACCAGATGTGGCGAGTGGGGATGGGTCTGACTATTAAATCTGATGCTCATTGGTTAACGACTTGTCATTTCCAGCTCACTGTCAATGCTAAAACACCCTTCCTGAAACTTAGAATGACTCAAAGATACAAAGCAGACTGAATGTTTTAGTCAATATGACCTGAAGTCAGTGACTGAGACCTTAACAGTGAACAGGAAAGTGTTTAGGGAGATTTGGACAGAGGGTCTATTTTACATACTTTTTACAACCACATCTGTCACCCCCTGGTGGCCCTACAAAAGAATGCAAGCTTAAAGTACTTCTGTGTTGGCTTCACTTTTAAACCCCGGGAACCACATTTTTATATGATTTGTGTAATACCAATTTCTACTACAAGACTGTGCAGTGATATTTGTGATGCAAAGAAAAGAAGCCAAATAAATGTAAACATCAGAGCAGCTTTTCCATGGCTGTCTGTCATTACTGGTAGAGTACATATGTTTAACAAGTTCCATTCAGACAACTGCTTTAAACACTTTTACTCTCTTATTAGAGGGATGGGCAGCTGTACTGATCAGTCTGCAGACTAACAGTACCATTAAACAGAACATTCATAGCTGAGGTGCAGACATGACTGTGGTCAGGACTTACCCTGCTGATTGATTCCTGTATTCTTTTATACTGCATCCCCAAACGGCTGGTAAGAGACACCTGAAAGGTCTGGACTTCTGTGTTGGGGAGTAAACCCCTCTGAGCACACAGTGACTCCTTAAAAAAATAAATTAAAAAACTCGTGTAAGTCAGCTGAAAACACTAGTGAGAGGTAGACTAAAAGCCTGTCGGGGTACATACGGCTTCTCTTCTCAAATTGTTGTTCATTTCCTCCATGTTTGTATCTGCATGTCCATGAACCGAACGGCCATGAATGTAGTATCCAAAGCAGCGATATGATAAGATAAACACAGAAATCTGCACGGAAACAAACACAAAAAAATGTTTATCCAGGCCATAAAGACAGAAAAAATGGCTTCATGCAATGCACACTACTTACATTACTGACTGAGCAGAGATCTACAAACTGACGGATTTTGTCCTCCACAAAGTGTGCATAAAACACAGTGAAGAAAATCACCTGTAAGGTTTAAAGGACATCTTTTAAGGGGTTCAAAGGGGTACATTTCACTGATACCTTAGGAAAGAATGAGGTGAGAATGGATGTGAAGGAAAGAAAAGTTAAGTGAGCAAATGGAGGCTGTGCACCTGCAGAAGCCCAATGCAGAGCCACAGCGTGGCTGCCACACCATAGCGCAGTGTCAGGCTGTATGAGGGGGTGTATTCTTCGGGAGATCGCTGTAAATTTGACCAGGGGTCCCTCAAGGCCAGGTTTGAGAAGCCCAGCACCTAGATAAGACAGGATGGCATGTCAGCAACATGAATTTGAGATGTAGCAAAAGCTGCAAAATGAACGAAGGGTCCATAATTGTGGGAGATGTACCTCAAGGAAGAAAAGCACAGTCATGATCTGAAAAGTCGGACTGATCTTGCGGATTGTCTGAATCTCATTCCATTCATTGGCCACAAAGTAAGTCCTCCAGATGCTGACTGGTGAGGTGTCATGTTTTGATTCGCCACTCACTGAAACAGTAGTCAATGTGGATAATTATTTTAAGCAACTAGTCATTTACCACTTATGAAGCTAAAAGTAAGCATGTTGATACCTGGCACAGATCTATTAGTTTTAGTTCGTGGCCTCTCCCAGTCGATGAGAAATATATCAACCGTAACCTGCAGGGCCAGCTTATGGAGAAACTGGACAGCCTTGGATACAATCACACCAAATAACACATTTTCAGTATTCCAGGTTGAAGCCTACCATCTACCTTTCAGCAAGGATACTGCTCATTGTTATATCTGCTCAGCTGGTGTCTAACCTTTAGAGCAAAGGCGCAGCCGATGTATGTCACAAACTGCTCCTCCTGAGCCGGCAGTGGTAACAGGACCGACACAAACTGTTGGGCCTAAGCAGACACAGACACAAATAAGTACCAGAAAGCAGCCAGCAATCACTACATCTAAATATTAACAGTGCTGATAAGGAAAGGTAGAGGAGGAAAAAGACTCGCCTTTAATGTCTAAAGAGTGGAGAGAAGAAAACAAAAGCTGTTAAAAGCCATGCAAAAAGACTGAAGTGGGAAAAAAACTAGAGAAAGGAGACATTGACATTCATATTAAAGAGCTCACAAGAATATAAATAATCCTATAAAAGAAAGACCTGCTGTTTAAGGGAATGAGACATACTTTGTAAAAGATAAGCCAGTAGAGTCCAGTTCCCACAGTGACAGCAAAGAAAACATTGGCCAGGTCACCAGCATAAAACAACAGAAACTTCACCATCGTCTGAAGAAAGACAGGAGAAACCAACATTACTTCATGTGGTTACAGCGACAGATAGTTCTGAAGTACATTAAAGGATAAAGGCACAGTACCTCCAGATCAATGAAGGAAGATGCAATCCTCCTCTTCCAGCTGATGGTCTTCATCAGGGAGTAGAGCACGGCCACCCCACCCAACACACCCAGAGCAATCTAAGCAAGAACAAAAAAAATCAGAGTTGATCCTGCATCGCTTTGTGCTGTAACAGCAGCTACATACAAGAACTCCTCCCCTGTGTTTCATCAACATTTCTTTCAAACTTTTACTCACATCTGTCTTTAAGCGAGCCTCACTCTGATCCATCTCATACTCTACAGCAAAGGTTGTCTAGAAGAACACAAATTAATTCAGTGCAAACACTCAAAAACTTGCTTCGAGATAAACAAATCAACAAATTTAGTCAAACTTAACAACTGAGATCAAGGAATTAGGTGTAATCGTCAAAATTAAGCTTTAAACTGAAGCATAATGATGTCGGAGGTCCTCAACAATGTGCGAGTGTGCGACCCACTCACAGCCACAGTTTGAGTGTTGAGATCCGTGATGAGAACATCTGTGTAGGTCACAGTCATTAGAGGGGGGAACACCTTCCCTTCCTGGGTTCGTCGAACCAACTGAAACCTACCAAACACGTCTCATCAATACCAGCAAAACCAATCAATCAATCAATCAATCAATGCTTTATTCGCCACATGCAGGTTGCCCTGCAGTGAAATGGGACCCCCCCCCCGACCTTACACACACAACACAGACATTACATGGGGACACAAGTCGGAGATCGGTAGCGTTACAGAAAAAACACTGAAATATACACAACAATGGGAAAGTACAAGAGGAAAAAAAGAGACCTCTACTCATGCTGTGCTTCCATGGTAGGACAGCATGAGAACAGGAAACAAAAAAACTCCTCTGCACAAAAAGCACATAAATGTCCACAGCACAAC